CTGAGACTTAGGTTTAATGCCCTTATCACTGTCCTCGTCTCCCAGTATGTCACTTTGTCACATTTGTGGGAAAGGCTCTTCAATGTTTTACCTACCAGTTGGTTCCTGTGTGCAGTCTCAGTCAGTGCAGGTGATTTGTCCTTGGAATCCAAGCGCACACGCCCTTGACAGCTCCCATAGCACATGGTAAAGGGCAAAGTACCTTGAAATGTGTCAGTGTTAAGTATGTTTTCACTTGTAAACCTGTGAATACTGACTTTCGTGCCTTTCTTGGAGGGGTAGAAGGAAAGAGAACTTGACATCCGTGGAAGATTTTTTTCCGGTTGCCTGACACTGTCCTTAACTATAAGTTGTTCGACAAATATTTATGGAACGCCTACTATGCGTCAGATAGGAGCATAAATATTCTGTCTCCTCCGATCAGGCCTTAAGCACAGGTGTTCCCCAGGGCCTCTCATTGCTTTCTGCATACGGCTAACGACATGTGGTGCGTCAACATATGAGCCTTCCTGCCCTCAGGCAGCTTATATTTTAACAGATGGGGGTGAGTGGGATACAGGTAATGAGCAAATAAGCAGATGAGCGAGATAATTTATGACCAAATTACTATGGAGAAAATAAAACAGGATAACTAATACCACACACTATGCAGCAGTTTGCAAATTTGGAGATTTTTATCAGCAGAGTCAAGCGACTCCATGAGCATGGCTTAGCGATTAAGAGGGCAGGCTCCGGTGGCAGACCTTCCCGGTCACAACCCTGCCTTCCCCGCCCTGTGGCTCTGGACAAATCACTTAAGCTTCCTGGCAGGAGGTGAGTCCGAGGATTAGAAAGAGTTGATACGTAGAGTGTTTGGTTCTGTGCCTGGCAACCTAGGAAGCATTTGGTGAGTGTTAGTAATCATTACCTTAGGTCAGGTAACTCACCTGGCGCTAAAGGGCAGGTGACAATCTCAGGTCCCCTGTGTCCCTGCGCCCCTGCCCGGATCCACGCCTCCTGCCCGAGGCAGGTAGTGGAGCAGGGCTGAGCTGGGCAGTTTTGACCTTGAACTGAGGTCCTCGGAGGCCGAAGAGTCGGGGTCCCCGTTCCCGTGCGCGGGGGGGCTGAGGGGGACGGGCGGAGATGGG